CAACACAAGGGGAAGCACAGCATCGGTTGCCTGTTCTTGGCTCTTAGCTAGGATGGTGCTGCAGATGCGTGGCCTGGCTGCTCCCGGACACAAATGGGAGATCATGGTAAATTGTCCTGATATTTTAGTTCTTCCGATAATCGAACTAGTGAATTGTATGAAGTGATGTCTAATTTCTTGAATTCTTTTTTTCGTTTGTTTGTGGCAGGTTGATCTGTTTTTCTACAGGGAGCCTGAGGAGACCAAGGAACAACAAGAGGAGGAAGTTCCGGCGCTTCCAGATTATGCTGATTACACTGGTGCCGCAATCGGCGGTGATTGGTCGAGTGGCCAAATCCCCGACTCGCAGTGGACTCCCGATATGGCTGGTGCAGTTGCACCGGTTGCAAGTGGTTGGACTGCCGAAGCAGGTATTTATTTGATTTCTTACAGTTATTGATGAATTATGTAGTCTGCAAATTTCCTCATGTATCTGCTAAATTTTGTTTTTATAATTTGAACGAGTCTGATTGATTTGTATTCGATTGTAGGCGTAGTTTCTGATGGATGGGATGCCGCTGCTCCACCACCAATGGCAGTTGCTGCAGCTGTTGATGTTGTACCGGGTGTTGCTCCTACCGGCTGGGAATAATCTAGTCTTTTTTCTTTTCCGCTTACGATCATGTTTGCTGAACTTTTTTTTTTAATTTATGGTCCTTTTGAAAGTGCTATTATGTATTGATATTCGCATACTTGGTTTTCTTTTTTGACTATCGGAAATTTTTGTTAGTGTAGAGACCCTTGGTTTAAATCAAGTTTAATGGTTTAATTTTGCAGAGTGTATTGCTATAATTATGCTTCTGGAATAGGTTCAATTGAATTTTTCACGGCAAACTTACGGTTGTTATTCGATTGAGATGAATCTGTGGTTTTTTTTATTATGTTAGGGTTTTTGAAATTAATTTATTTTCTGAGAAAATTAACTAGTGATTGGTCGTATCCTATTTGAAGATGAAAATGTTGTGGAATCTAATGGAGAATTCGACACTCAATATTTAGGAGTTTCAATTATCGTTGTCGCCAAGGTAATTAATAAAATGTGAGGAAGAATAATGCACGAACATGTATATCTACTATTATATATGTGTGTATATAGTAGATTGATAGTGAAATGAGGCTACTTGAAGTGCATTGCTAAACCGGTATTTTGTGAAAAATATCCGCCACCTAGGTCACCTTATTCGAATTACCAAGTGATTTTGCAAACAATGTTCGATAAGGTATTGTTTGTCCAGTTCGGGCTTCACTAATATCAAGCATAAGACTAAAAATAGCCATAAGAGCTCTCTAAGGAGCAGTCGACCTAGAGTGCTCTTTGTTATAGAGCTCTCCGACGAGTTGAAGACATAGGGAGCTCTGAGCTGAACTATCCGATGAGCTGAAGACTTAGAGAGAACTCTCACGAGCCTCTGACGAGTTGAAGACCTAGGGAGCTTTCTGACGAGCTGAGTTCTTCGATGAGCTGAAGACTCAGAGAGAACTCTCACGAGCTGAAGATCTAGAGAGCTCCCTGACGAGCTGAGCTCTCCGACGAGCTTGAAGACCTAGAGTGCTCTCTGAAGGCCTAGAGAGCTCCCTGACGAGTTGAGCTCTCCAACGAGTTAATGACCTAAGAGCTACCACTATTTATCTCATACTTTTATCTCAACGATATTTGTGTATAACTCTTTGAAGAGTTTGAGTGCTAACGCGGGACGCCGCCGCCGAACATTTTTGAGGTACATGACGTATAGGCTTAACGTTGAAGGATTCAAAGAAAAATAAAATAATAGAAAGCTCGCAAAAACGACTTGTGAATTTATAAACAACTAAGAAAAACCTCAAGCTCTGCTCGTAAAAAAGCTCGTACGTGCGAATTCGAGTTCGAAATCGAGCTTTTGTAGAGCCGATTCATCGAGCTCACGAACCAGCTCAACTCATTTATACCCCTAGATATAATAGACAAATCAATGTTAAGATATTCTAGCTTTTCTGTTTTTTTTTTTTTTTATGTTTTGTTTTGTTTATACATGAGCAATTTAAATATTTTGCAAATTTATTAGAACTTATGACCTATTTTTTTTTTAAATGAGAGAATTTTTGAGTTGTTAGTTTATACTTTATACATGCCCACAACACTGATTTAGAAGTATGTCTCAAATACAACGGTCAAACAGCCGTTAACTCAAATTCCAAAGCATTAGCAGTAGCAACTTTAGTTTATGTTCAAATTGTTTTGTTTTCACTAGCAACTTTAGGTTACACTTGAGTTATCCGCACGAACGTAACCGTACCACAACTCCTTCTCTCTCCACTCTCCCTCCGCTAGGCGCTGCTCTTCCCTCAGTCTCTCTCTCTCTCTCTCTCTATATATATATATATATATGCCATTGCCAGAAAATTCAGAGGGAGAAGCCCGGATCCGAAACTTTACCCGAGATGACCCGACCCTCCCGAAGAAACACTCGAGGCAAAACCGAATCCTCTTCAGATGGTGATCAACCGCCAATTAACCAAAATCCGAATCCGAAAACCCGAATGCCCGCTCGCAGGAACCGTAAATTCAGTCGGATCCTAAGTTTATCTCTCTGTGGACTTCTTCTCGTCGCAATTGGATTATTTTTCAATAAATATTATATAAACCCTATGAAGAAGACTGTAAAACCCAGGGTTGTTACTCCATTACCTGCTCCCAAGCTCATGGATCTTCCAATGGTAAATGCAATTTGTTCTGATTTTTGACCTAATTTGATGATCAATTGTAATATTCAGAAATAATGATTTTGCCTTTTTTTTTTAATTTATTTATTTATAATTTGATTGGTAGTTTCAAGGGGAGCACAAGGAGAGTTTGTACTGGGGAACATATAGACCCCATGTTTATTTCGGAATTCGTGCAAGGTAAGTTCTTTTATGTTGCATTTTGCTGCAGTTTTTCGATTCTTTGTAGCTTTGGAATCGTAATAATTCGAAGTATAGAATCGAAGTGATTATCAATTATCCCACGGGCATTCGTTGATAATCGAAGTGTTTGTTTGATGATCCAAATGATTCATTTTATTTTATCTTGAAATGTCAAGATAATTTCATTTTATTCTTTAAATTGGCTCTTGGTTTATTTCGGGGTTGAACTAATGTAATCCCTGAAGGGTGACATTTTTATATTGCCGCATTCTCTGAAGGTTTTTTTTTTTCATTTTTCGGTATTGCTTATTTGTTGAATATGCGTAACGAGAAGTTGGAATTCTAGGACTCCACAATCTCTGGTTGCTGGTTTGATGTGGATTGGTGTTACGGATGGGAGGTATTCCATGCGACATGTATGTCAAGATTCTGATGGACTCAAGAAATACGGCTGGACACATCATAATGCACGGGATTATGGACGCCAAGTATTTGTCGACCAAAGATTGACATTGACAACAAGTTTTCTGAAATCGAAGGAGATAGAGAGTGGTTATGGAGGGGACTGGGCGGTTCGACTTGAAGCAGATACTGAAGAGTAAATTTCTAGACCTTTTACGATTCTTGTTTTCAAGTTCAGTTGAGCTAACTACAGATACTGTTTTTTTTTTTTTTTTTTTTTTTTTTTTTTTTTTTTTTAAATATCTACTAATGAATGCTATTAAATTTTGCTCTTTTTTTTTGCTACTAATATTCAAGTAATTATTTTTTTATTTCTAATAATCATTTTATCACTTAAAATTTGCGGGTTCCTGCAAACAGTTCTTGCCTCGCGGAGTTAATTAAAAAAATGCTTGTCATTTGCTAATCTGAAGTCTTGATTTTCTTTGACTGATATAGAGTTAATAAGGAAAAGACAGAAATTGTGCACCTTTTCTTTTATATGGCTGATGAAGGTGGAACTGCTCTAGGTCTGGGTAGGGGCATTTCAGACATTACCGATGACCACACCCTGGCATTTGGGTCACGTGATGATCTTGGTAGTTGGCAGCTTCATTTAGAATCAAAGGTACCTTTTCAATTATAAATAAGGACTATTTATACTGAGAAATGGTATTTCAACGTTTTCCAGTATAAGCATAATTTTTTTTTGACTTGTCTGCCTTAGTTATTTGTAATACATTTTAATAGATTTTTTTGACAAATATCTGTTTCAGCAGATAATATCGAGTAAAACAAACTAGCTCTGTTTGTGTTCTTGATTCTGTTGCATGGAAGCAAGACCTTTCTATTTGAAAACTGAAAAGAATAATTTATATTTAGCACCTAATATGTTACCATCAAATGAACTAACAATGCGACGCATGAATGAAATTTTGAAGGATGTCTTTGAGTTCCATTACGCTGGTTTCAAGACGCAGCACATTCACAATTTATCGGATCTTGTCCAAACAAATCTTGGAATTCAGGTGTGTAGGATCTAATAGTTGAGTTCATTGTCAATTATTGTTTTTTTTATCAAGTTCAGCCGGTGGCTTTCAGTCTCTTGCTATACGATCGTAACTGAATCTTCATGTCACCTTCATCCAGTTTTCTAAATTTTGTTTAGGCTAGGAATCTTGGCCGGTTACAGCTTTCAGATACAGCTGATTATGCTCCAAATATTCTAGTTTTCCAGGTGTGTGCTTGATGAATTGTTCATGTCTCACCTTTTGAGGAAGCTAAGTTTAGTTTTATGTTTTGCTTCTCATTTTACAAATCTAAGCATCTTCTTAAATTTCATTCAGATTTCTGCAAAACTTCCTTTCAAAGCAGATATTGCTTTTATATCAAAATCGAGCGATTCTACTTCTAGAACCGTAGAACGTGTCAAAGTCCTTACAGGTATCGCTACACTTGTTTTTATAGGACATTTTCCATTTTTTTTCTTCATTCTGATTGATTGCCTTTCTTTTTTTTTTTTTTTTTTTTGACGATGTCAACAATGAAATGGCTGTTTTCTTTTATTGCCAACCCCTATCTTTCTACTTACCACTTAAGCGCAATGATTTTTTATTCCGAGATAGGTTCTTATTTGAATTTGTAACAGAGAAAAGAATCACTATGAAGTGTCAGGTGCTTTTGAAACGGTGGTTATATCCTTCTGTCATAATAGAAGAAAATAGAGATGGTTTGTCCTGGCAAAAGCGTTCTCGGTCTTTTGCCTTTCTTCACTATATGAAGTGAAAAAAAATGCAATATCAATAAGCTAGCACCAACAATAAAGTATGTCAAATTCTACATTACTTGAAAATTTTACATTTAACCCCCTCTTGAATGAAAAATCTTACGATCACACCTACGAGGATAGTAACATCTGAAATCGGAAGATTTCGTTAGTGTTCTCTCTGTAAGGGAGGAAATATTAGAAATATTCAAAGCAAAGCAATTGGATGTCCGGGCATATATGACTGATCAATAGAAATACTTCACCTTTTAGATTTCGCAAACAAGACGGGTAGTTTCGTAATATAAATATACCTCAGGTGTTATGTGTAATTTACCCTTAATATTTTCAGTCTTTCAGTTTTTTCTTGTACTAATTAATCTTTCACTCGTCTGCGAACCTTTGTCCCTCATTTCACATTTAAAATATTTTTCGTCATCCCAGGGGACTCTTTAACTAGTCTTCTAGAGCAGAAGCAGAAGCAGTTCGACGACAAATATCAAAGATGTTTTAATATGCCTGATGAGGTACCTATTAGAGATGTTTCTATTCTTCTGATTCATCCTTGAGTTCTATAATTTTGAATAATGAATTCAAAGGTTTACTAAAAATTAGAACATTTGCTCTAAGGTGTCCAATAAGACGATCACACATGATTTTGATGTTTATTGCGAGATATTTCATCGCGTTTGCATATGATTGTCACATTTGGTAATGTCTCCGGAATGCAAGATCTTGCAAATAAAAATAGATGTCCGAATCATTGCATAATTTGAATCACCTTTGTTGCAGCTCACTATTGTTGTTTGTGTTGCTATATTGAATCTACCTTTCCTCTCTTACACTGATTTTGTTTATCTTTATATATCTGTTGGGCTTTTTTAGTATTTAAAGGTTCTTGAATTGAAATCCAATGATGTTTTTTCAGCTCAACGCTGAAGCCATAACAGTAGGTAAAGCAACTCTTGGGAATTTGTTGGGTGGGATTGGCTACTTTTACGGCCAATCAAAAATTTCACTTCCATCATCCTCAAATGTAAGTTGTTTCATATCCCTACTCTTTCTAGACATGGTGATATGATGCGAATTGCCCTCTCCCTGTTTTAGAATTGTGAATTATGTCTGAAGTTGATAAACTAAGTGCAGTTTATATTAGGCTCAACGGCTTACTCACCTGTTTTCTACATTGATATTAGTGGAATTATTCCTACATTGGGTGGAACCATTAAATTTTACACCTGTCAATGATTTCATTGTGGCATATAAAATTTTCAAGCTGTTCTGTTTACCATACAATTTATATTAACAAATTTTATAATATCACATTAATAATGCCCCATTGAAATAATAATACGACCTGGTGTACCAAGCATTACTAGAATAACTCTAATTTTTTTATGGAGGGTAAATTTTACAAAGTCTCAGGATTAATAAATTGCTCCCGGAAAGAAACTCAATTTGTGTTACCTAATTCTATCATTAATAGTAACTATTTCTCGTTGTTCATATCTTGAAAGTTAGTGGTTATGCTAATGATGTTGCGATATGCATTACCTACGAACTAGTTCTTGTTTGAACTTGGTGAGAACATATGCTGCTTTGTATTGGAATTTTGTTGACAACTTTTTCTCCTCATCTGTGAACTATGTCCGCGTAAATCAACAGAACCACATTGCTATCTCGTCTCACATGATTTGTGTCATTTGGACGCCTGACAAAGTTACGCAGTGGGCTATTATCTTATGCAGCTTGTATCTGGTGATAATTATATTTCATATTGGCCAGCTGAGCTATACACAGCAGTGCCGAGTCGTCCCTTCTTTCCTCGGGGGTTTCTCTGGGATGAAGGTTTTCACCAACTATTGATCTGGTAAGTTGCTTGTAGTCATGCAGATCCTCTCTTTTTTCTGGAGTTTTTTTGCTATTAACAGCTGGTTTTACCTTTTTCTAATGGCAATAAATCTTTTTTTTCAATGTTTACATGAAAAGGCGTTGGGATGTTAAAATTTCTTTGGATATTATCGGGCATTGGTTAGATCTGATGAATGCTGATGGATGGATTCCACGTGAACAAATTTTGGGTGCTGAAGCTTTAAGGTGACTGTTGAATTCTTTTAGTATAACTACTCAGCTTCATGGTACTAAAAACCTTCGAATTTTTTTTTCTTTGTTCTCTATTGGCAGTAAGGTACCATCAGAGTTTGTCCTTCAGTATCCAACAAATGGAAATCCACCGACATTGTTTTTGGTTTTACGAGGTTTGATCTTACTGCAGTTTCTGTCCTCTGGTTAAATATCATGTTTTGGTGTACCGTGATATGTACACTTCCTGCTGTATGACCTACTGTAACATTTGAAATCCTATTGTTTAAGAGTTGAAGACCCCAATAAGCTGACACAATCTATTAAGAGAGGCTATATAGTCCATTGTTAAAAGTATCTAGACGTAGTTCTGCTCAATTCACCAACTCGTCTCACCTAAAAGAGGAAATGAACGAGAGGTGGTGGAAATTGAATAGGCTGCAAGGTTCTGACACTAGATAGCTATAGAATGCCATCTGGTAAATCTGATTGTCTGTTCTTGCCTTGAGTTGTGCGATCATTTTGCTTATAGCTAATTGGCAAAAGGTGCATCTCTGAATTGTTGCACTTCGCATATTGATTTGTTCGGTGGGGGATATTTTTGTATGTACTGTGGTTGTAATACAATGGTGATAAGAGTTGCCTTTTGCAGATTTGGTTTCTGGCATTAAGAAAAACAAATTTACAGCTTCAGAAACAAATGAGATTACCATCTTCTTGCGTCGAGCATTTGTGCGTCTTGATGCGTGGCTTAAGTGGTTTAACACCACTCAATCAGGTGAGTATGGCAGGAATCTTATAAAGTCTACATATTGAACACATGCTGGTTGCTTCCTCATAGAAACTGTGTGTGCCAGCATTGACACCTCATTTGTAATAAAAATATCTCATGTATAAGTTACTGAAAGACAACCTAAGAAGGCGTTTTGTTAGATAGGAAGTTAAATTGGTTTATTTTAATTGGAAATTCGATGTTCTATTCACAGGAAAAGATGTGGGGACCTATTTTTGGCATGGAAGAGACAATGTGACCACACGTGAACTGAATCCTAAGGTTCTTATCCACTATCTTTATATGCATGTTCAAACAATGTAGCCCCTCCCACCAAATAAAAAATTATTTTGTCGTCCCCATTTATCATTTTTGTCGTTTGAAGATTGAAATCAATTCATACTGTTGGAGCTATATAGCTTTCTTAACTTTCGAAATGACTAAATGAAAGGTAATCTATAACTGTCAGATTTACCAAAATAGTATTTTTGCATTTGTAGTCGCTCTCTTCTGGACTGGATGATTATCCACGTGCATCACATCCCAGCGAAGATGAACGCCACGTGGATCTTAGATGTTGGATGCATCTTGCTGCAGATTGCATGAGTTCAATTTCAGAATTACTCGAGGACAGACACGTCGGAAAGGTATAACCGGTAAACATTAGACAAAATGAGTTGCCAGATACTGGTTTGATTTGATTCTCTATGTTGTATAACATTATGCCGGAGTATGGCTTGACAGCAAAGTTGCTCTCGGATTTCGAGCTTTTAAATCACGTAATTTCTAGTTTCCCTTGTTTCCTTTTATTGTTTCTCTAAAGCAGTCTTCATCCGTTATATGGATCTTATATACATTCGCCATGATTATATAGCTCATTTGGTTTATTCCATGTATGCAATAATTTTTTTCTCTCTGCCAATCTCGTGTGCTTTTTTGGATTTTCAGATGCATTTTGATTATGAAAGTGGAGCTTATTTTGACTACGGATATCATACGGAGAAGGTATATTTGCTTCCTGGACTTTGTATTCTGCAACCTTTCTCGCTTAAATTCCAGTTTGTAGGAACTACGCTCTCACCATTTTGATGATTAAGCACTATCTATCTTCCATATCCTTAAAAAACTCAACGTCTCTGGTTCTACTCTGGAATTAACATTGTAAACTAAAAAGGTTTGGAGCTATTTAAAAGTGGGTGCAATCTTCATAGAATTGAAGTGCAGCTTATATAGGGGCAAAAAAAAAAAAGATTTTGACAAATTAAAATATTCTAGTTTATTATAGCTCATTCTTGAAGTGACATTTCTTCTTCCGTTCAGGTTCGCCTCAGTTGGCGGGTGGTAGAAGCAGCTGGCAGTTATCCTACTCGTGAATTTGTACGGGAGGTTCTACAGAAACCTACACTGAGACTGGTTCCTCATATTGGCTACGTCAGTCTTTTCCCCTTTATGGATAGGCTTATACCACCTGTGAGTTATACAGTGATTTCTTCATTCTTATTTGGTTCGTATTTGCATTATTTGTTGAAGACTGTCTTATATCTTCGCCATACACCACGCAATGTAGGAATCGTGGATATTAGAGAAACAGCTTGATCTCATCTCAAACACGAGTACGCTATGGACTAAGTATGGACTCAGATCTCTTGCCAGAACAAGGTAAGTTAAATTGGTATATTTTGAGGCTCTGAACTGAGAAGATTCTCTGTTTGCGAACATTTTAGTACACTTCTAAATGTAAGTATTCTCACACATTTATGGGATGTGTACCAGCTCGATTTACATGCAACGCAACACTGAGCACGACCCACCGTATTGGAGAGGGCCAGTTTGGATGAACATGAACTATATGATTCTTTCAGCTCTTCACTATTATTCTGAAGGTAATACATAAATTATTTACCGGGCAAATTCTTTTCCATCTTAAGACTTCTCCTCTTTGACTCGTGATAATGTACTCTATTTATCACAGTGGATGGGCCGTATAGAGATCGAGCGAAGATCATTTACAACGACCTGAGGAATAATTTGATAAGGTATCTGCCACCTGGATAATTTACGTTTACATGTGTACTTTAAGATCCATTGTAGTAACTTTTAACATTTGTTGTGGCAGAAATGTTGTACGGAACTATAACGAGACTGGCTTCATATGGGAACAATACGATCAAAAGAAAGGGAGGGGAAAAGGCGCTCGAGTTTTTACTGGTTGGACATCACTTATAGTGTTGATCATGTCTGAAGTATACAGTGACAGTTAGGACTTTGGAATTGGACCATGGTTAGGTTAAAACTTAAAAGTTGATTAACATTAAGTGTACACCTTTTTAGTTTAGTATCAAATTTTGGAAATTGAGAGCAAAGAGAACTAATTGACTACAGTGCAATATGCATGTAATATTTATGTGGAATTCAGCTGTAACTTGATAATTATCCTGAAAGGGCTCAGAGTTTAATTTTACCGTCTGATTTTGTGCAACAAAGTATGCAAGAGTTAATTCAAAAATTTATTCAATTAAAAATAATTTATTTCCCACACCTTAAGGTAATAATAATTAATATTTTTGCATATTACTGGTTGCAATAAAAATCGAGTCTTTTTCTTCTTTTTTCGTTTAATGTTCATAATACATATAATATTTGAATTTCAGCATTCTTGGTTATAATGAAAAGGTACACTGAGAAATTAAAGAGAAGATCGATCGAGAAAGAGATATAGGCTTCTTCTACTAGTCTTCAATCATTTCTGTATCTTCAGCCATTATAATTTCCATGTCTCGTGCGTCACGTTTGAGCACGTTTCCAAGTCTAGCGATGGCCTCCGTCTGCCTTTGCAAGACCTATTTCGCAAATAGAGAGAAAATAAAAAAAAAAAAAATTCCAGATAAACGCAAACTATCAGCACAAGGGGATTCAATTTGAGAGAATTCTTAAAAAAAAAAAAGAAAAAAAAAATTGAATATCTTAAGAACATAAAAATCAATTTGCATTCTTGTACCTCCTGCATTTGAGCTAAGCTTTGTTGGTGAATTTTGGTTGATCCTGGAAGATAAATAGAGCCACCAGTCGGGCCATCTGTTTGCAGGCGAGATAGTGTCAGCAGATTCTGAACCCGTCTATAAAGTTCCGCACCTCCTTTCAACTGCAAGTTCATTTTATATTTATTGTTCATGCCCCTTGCTGATGTGTCAAAACAGATAAAACTAGGTAATTAAAAAAAAAAAAAACCTGTCTTGTGATTGCAGCTAATTTCTCTGCTAATTCTACTTCTCCTTTCATCAGAGGTAATCGACTGCCTCTACCTTCAAGTGCCTCTATTATTCTCGTTACCCTCAAAAGGCGCCTTTGAAGGCCTTGCTCTTTTTGTTGCATCTTTTGAATCCAAGGGAGTGTGTCAGCTTGGAAATGCCTTTGGAGCTGCTTTACGTAACTCTGAGTCATCTTCAATCTCTCAGAATCTGAGAGTCGAACTTCATCTTGAAGCTGTACAAACCCATATTAAAGACATCGTCAGATACTTTTCACAAATTATAAGCAAAACATGATAGTTCAAAGAGCAGCAAGATGAGGGACAAAATGGGTATTTACTCAATTCTTAGATTGATGGTATCAATAGAAACGTCATGAGTCCATGTAAAGACGGGATTGTGAAGGAGGCTAGAGAGCACACAATCATGTTTTTTGGTATTTTCTTTGTTTTCTTTCGAAGTTCAAATTTTATTAAGGAACACATTCACCTCCCTAAAGATTATACATAAATAAATAATAATGTTAATACATTCCCGCAGCCTCTGACAGCTGATACGCATGAGAAGAGGAATTTCAAATTGAAGTGTACACCTCATCACAAGATAATATTCACATGTCAGCTTCATAACAAAATTAAACATGAGTGGTCATTTTATTATAGTAACTGAGTTCTTTTTCGTAATCCGGCCACTTAGGAATTCACTAAGCTTTCCAACAACAAAATATTCTGATATAACTACATTTATTTCAGGATTTGGGTGTACTAAGCTCACAACTTCTTACTTCACTGTAATGATACAAATATCTATACGCTTTTCTCCAATGCAAGCTTTTATAGTATACAGATGTACTTTTACCAATTGCATTCCTCCACTTATACCAAACTCCGTGTCTATGCTATCATCCTTTTCCAAGATGTTAATTATTGGATGTTATATACAACTCACTCACAAAATCTCATCACCGAATTCAGAGAGCTGGTGCAATATCACATAATGGTAGAAAGGATTCGATCGTGAATGCCAATGGAAATATCACCTAGAATAGTTTGTATAACAATGTTATGAACATCGATTGTGTAGACAGGTATGAAGAAAAAAAAAGTTGCAATTTGTGCTGACTCTCAAAATACAGAGTCCAGACTGTCGAAAAGTTCCTTTCCAAATAAGATAAAGATGAAACTAATCACATTTTCACTTACCTTGAGACGTTGGGAAAGATCTTTAAACCCATGTACAAGTTGCGGCCACAAGCGTTCTCTATGGGAACTTTCCATACCTTCTAGCTTTGCTAATGCCTCTGCCCACATGATCTGGAAATATAAACTATTTTTACCAGACTAACCGAATCTTATCCACAAGTAAATCTATAATTGAAATTGTTGCAATACTGATATACAATACAAAGTTACTCACATCTGATACACCAGCAGGCTTTGTCCTGTACTGAGGTTCAGTCACACTAAATAACAGATTCTGCAAAACCAACAAAAAATCTTGATGAACATCCAATTGAAAATATATGCACGCAACAAGTCGGTGCAGTTTGGAGAAAAATCAATAGCACTTCTTATAGTTCCAACTTCAAAGCAATAAGTATTTCCGCAAAAACCAAAAAGCGCACGATTTCTAACTAAGCTAATTAACTCCACATACATCCCAATTTCAGGCAATGGAATCAAATGCAGTCTTCCAACGGTGAGCATCCTCAATTTCTAAGAAGAGCTTTTCTCAAACTCGATCTAAAAGTCTAACCGCACGACTTGAAATTCAGCATGATAACTATTAGAAACTCGGTGAGCTCCATTTGTTGACTAAACAAGCCTACCCTAGAAGCCCTATTGTGACAATTTAGCTCAAATTGGCAAGTTACAAAAGAAAATATATAAAAACACTCTCGGTAAAGTCACGCTCAGCTTAAATAAAAGTTCACCGAAGTTAAGTTCTTTTATCAGCTCAATTAAAAATACATTTGAAGTTTAGTTCTTTTAACAACTAAACCGATAAACAATTCAGTTTCGGGTTCCATAAGCTTGGGTAGAACGTTACTAACTTACTAAGCTCAACACAACTGTATTGACATTCAATTCAAGCATAAAGTTTGGTAAACACTACATATATTTTCCGATTACACAACACAATTAAACACAACCAATTTAATCCCATTGCAGATGAATTGAAATATCTTCGAGTATTAAGGGAACACTTGTTGAAAATCAAACCTTAAATGCATACTTAAGGTTCCCCGGCTCCTCCTTATACGCATCGACAATCGTCTGCACAAACAAGATGAAGTGTTCAAATTAAAGTGTCTTATTAGCAAAACCCGAAAACAATAAAATAAAAATAAAAAAATAAAAATAAAATTCACTTGAATATCGCGATCGGCGAGAGAAAACGGGAGAGGAGCAACTGGGGCCATCTGAGTAGTCAGCTGCGAATTCATAAAATTCATGGCAGGAGAAGCATTGTTAAACGGAGTTGGTTGCGTTTGTGGGGTAGCGTTAAACGGCGTCGTAAATCCGAACGCGCTCTGCTGCTGTTGTTGTTGAGGCTGAGGAGTCTGAAATATCGACGGCGTTTGCTGCTGCTGCTGGGGTTGGGATGGCTGAGAAAATGGTGTGGAAAAGAGCGAAGTGTTGAACGCCGGAGTTGAGGGAGTGCCGAAGGCGGGTGTGGAGGAGGGGGTGCCGAAAGCGGCGGAGGACGACTGAGCTCCGAACATTGTTAGGCGGTGGAACCCTAGATTTAGATTTGGGGATTTTTCTGGAGTGGAGAATTGCTGGTTGCCGCCAATTTCTCTCGGGCTCTAATTTTGCTTTATATAATTTCTGCTTTTTTATAATTCAGGCTTTTAAATTTGGGTAAAATTTCTATATGGCAAAGCCCGGCTATTATTAGACAAGATGAGATAGTTTGTTGGTAAATAGATACATTGCACTTGGGATCTATTTGGTCACATGTTTGAGTTATGCATTGCATCTATGAATCAATAGTGATTATTGATATGCGTAAAATCTACGTATGAAAAATCGCAAGTGTACAGTATCGCGTTTAGTAAAATAGTGAATTCCAGATATCGATCCACAGAGAATTAAGTTGCTAAATTTATCAAGTACCGTAATTATACTATCCTAAACTTTATCTATACGATTGAAAGGATGGGAGAAATGAAGCTAAAAAGAAACAAAAGAAAAAAAAACAACGGTCCGCCAGGACAAGCGAGGAATTCCGATGTGTGATGGCTTATAGGGTAAAATCCACCAGTGTAATATCGATAAAGATCTACAAATCCGAATCTAATGTCAATTCAATACTCTAACGCCCGTCTCTAGTGTAGCTAGAGTCTACCCACAGGTCCGACGTCTCCTTTCAGAACCTGATATTAAGAGAACATTTAGGTCAAGTCCTTAAGGGCTATCCGATGTGCATCACGTCTCTGTTTCCACAACCCGAGCTATGTTTTCCTAAAATCAAACGAGAAATCCTCTCTCGAGTTCATTCCCATTTACAATCAATTCAACTGTTGCCCAAACAATCGAAAGCATTTAATATAGGAAAACATAAACAGAATCAAAGAACGACAAATAGATCACAAATCTGGAAATCAAAATCAATATATACAAGGTTTCATTTCCCCTAAAAGAAAATGCTTAGTTCATTACAAACATAGCATCCAAATGAAGAACACGAGAAATCATAAACTAAACGTAAAGAAAAAGCTTATGAAAAACATGAGTCGAAACCCTCGTCGAAGCTTCCCGCGAAGAACTGCAAGAACCGAAGAAAAAATCGAAGAAAAGGTTGAGAGATTGTCAAGAGGTCGAAAATGAAAAAGAGACCTTCTATTTATAGTAAGAAATCAAAGAAAAATATTTGGTCTCGATCTCTGTGCCCAGATCGCGATCTGGGCTTCTTGGATCGCGATCTGACAGCCTTGGAAACTGTGTACCGCCTTCCCAAATAGCGATCCAGGAGGTGCGGATCGCGATCCAGCCCAATTTTCCGCTGCTACTGGAATTTGCTGGATCGCGATCTGGCCTCTCGATCAACTTCAAACACTGTTTTGACCATTTTTCAGCCTGAATTAGACAAATATGCATTTCACAAAAGTTGTAGCCTTTGAAGTTGTCTTTCTAGATCCACTTGAATCAGTTCAATCGGAGGTCGTATGCGAGAGTTATACTTCAAATACCGAACACTGCCATAGTCCTCTAGCATGCACTTTTGTACGTGTTTGGGTTTGGTTCTCGGCTTCGCTTCCAAAATCGTCTCGAATCGGCAAAAATAGCTTCTCTTTACCTAAAATATAAAAAAAAAACAAAAAAAACATAATATATACAAATAAAGCTGAAAACTCGGACGAACGAAGACTAAAACTCGAAGAATTGATAAGTGAAAATCATGCAAAATGAACACTTATCAATTATACTTCGTCGAATCAAGCTCACACACACACACACGCACACACACACATTAAGCATAGCAAATACACACATTAAACCCACACTGAAAACGAAAAAGATAAAGAACACAAGAAGCTTTACGAGATTTGAACTTAATGTGAGTCACTCCAATCCACTAGATCCAGAAATTACAAATTATTATGAGCTCAAAACCAATCCATAATTTGCCAGAAAACCATAACCCATGATTTCATGTGCAATACATATCTTTCAGTCAATAAGATTAATTGTTTTTCCTTCAAGTCACGAGCTGCAGCTGCAGATAATAACATCCATGTGCTCCTCACGTGCACAACTGCATGAGCATACTCCATGTACTTTAACTCCTAGTCAGTTAGGTGTTAATCCATCAATTAGAATTGCAATTTAACATGTGTTTGTTTGTATACGAACAATAAAATCTACCAAGGCCCCGTTTGGTTGCCAAGATAAGCCATGATTAACTAAATAGTTGGACTTAATTTGATGTTTGGTATCCTCAATAACTTGCCGGGTCGACTCGCCAAAATTATATAATCATGGCTTATCTTGCCTTATCTTGACTTTTAATGAGTTTTTTTTGTTGCACCTTTCAAGCTCCAATAAAATAATTGGGTCTCATTAGATTATTTAATCTTATCTTGGCTAATCTTATCTTGCCAACCAAACGAGGCCCAAGTGTATTAATCTCGGTGTAACATAGTATCAACCCATGAAGACCACCTCTTAGGTCCAAACAAGATTCTATTTTACATAGTCCAAACATGTACTAATGGCAATAATACTTTCAAATTCAAATTTTACTCTAACTTTATTCCCCAAACCCCAATTTTATCCATTGTTCGTTTGACAGTTGATTCGACTTTTGTTTTCCTTCTATTTTCAATTTATATTCGACAGACAATGTTGTTGTGTTGACTGTTCAACACAATATGCCTCGTTTGGTTGTCAAGATTAGATTAGCCATGATAAGACTAAAAAATCTAATAAAACCCAATTGTTTTATTGGACTTTGGAAGGTCCAACAAAAAACATGCTTAAAAGGCAAGATAAGACATGATAATATAATTTTCACGGGTCGACCCGGCAAGTTATTGGGGATACCAAACATCCAACAAAGTCCAACTATTTAGTTAATCATGGATAATCTCCCCAACCAAACGGGGCCTTAGTTGTCCAACAACTAAAATAGAGATGAGCAGAACGCAAGGATGGTTTTGTAGGTGAAGTAAGAAAATTAAAAAACACTGATCCGAGTTCAATCATCCTTGTCGACAGTTATTACTTATTAGTATTTTACAAACTTAAATATTTTCAGTTTCATATAGTATAAAATATTCTAATATATATAATTTTGTACTCATTTTTTGCTCGTTTTTGTTTAATATTTACTTGCATTGAACTCTCTAACCATAATTTTCATTTAACTGATATTTGTTCTAAAGATAAATAAAATATAAATATCATAAGAATCAGAGTGAAAATATTTTTTACTCAATAATATGCAGATAACTGGAACAAAGACATTTATTTACAGTCCCACTATTTTATTTACAGTCCCACCATTTGATGGAAGATGATTGTGTACAAATTGAGAGCCAAAGTGTGGGACAGCTGTACAAACTCATGGCCTCAATCCACATCTATTTCCCACAATATACATATGTATAAACAGACATCCCATAAACACAAAAAGTACAACATTTTCCCCATTATTCAGACATTGAATCCTTTCATAAATTAAATGAGAGCACACACAAAACAGGAACAACAACAACAACAACAACAAATACACAGTCAGATCAGATGAAAATGTCCAAACACACACACACACACACACTCAGTGTGTGTCATGCCGCAATTGTGACACTGCACAAAAACGAACCCGAAGGCTTTATTTCCGAAACCCCCCACTCCGATCCAGGTGCAGCTTCCGGATCGTACACCAGAGTTCGATAACTGGGGTCCGCCTGCACCGAGAACAGCAGAAGCTTCCCCTTCAATATTCCAAACCGAAACCCGATACTCGAGCTCCCGTTAACCGGGATCGGCACCATCTTCCAAGAATTATCCGACGGATTGAAAATCGCCAGCCTCCGCTCGTTCTTCCACTCCATGCAGCAGAGCCGCCCGCCGACCACCGCGTGGGCGGTGACCATGACGCACCCGTTCTTCATCTGCGGGGCCCATGACCGGCTCTTCGGGCTGTACACGTCCACGAAACGGGAGTTGCCGATGCTGAAGGTCGACCTGCCGCCCATTACGTAGAGCTTCCCCTGGAAGCTGCAGGCGAAGCAGCCCCACCTCGGGCGGCGGAGGCTCTCGATTGCCGTCCACCTGTCGGAATCTGGGTCGTACACCTCGGCGCACGACAGGGATTCTCCGTCGGCCCCACATCCTCCGACTGCGTAGACCATGCCGTCCACCTCAGCGCATGCAAAGTCGTATCGGGCCACATTCATGCTGGCTAATTTGCTCCAGCTGCATGCAATAGGAGGTACTTTTTGTTATAATAGAATAAATCACAAGCATATTAAGAGCTATTAAAAACAAAAAAAAAGTAGGGTGTGGAAAATCGGAAAAAAATTAAAAACAAAAATCAAAATCGAAAAACTTAGTCGAATTCAGTTCTAAAAAAAATTGGAAAAATGGAAATCAGAATGAAAACAAACTCCTAAAATTGAAATTATTCGGATGGTAATCGAGGGAATTCAAAGTAATTAGAGTATTAGACTGTCTCAAGTCTCAACAATTGATATATCCACGAAAGCTAATGAGTAAGGAGAATCGAGAGAGAAAACAAAAACCTGTTGAGGCAAGGATCGTATTGGTAAACATCGGCCGAAACGGAACCCGTTCCATCAACAACAGAATATCCAGCAATAACCAGTAGCTTCCCGTTGAGAACAACGACGCCAAACCCGGCTTTAACAGGGCCAGGCATAGGCAAAAGCCGACAGCGTTTGTTTCCAGAACAATCTAGAACCTCCCAGTGGCTTTCTTTTCCTTCATCATCCACCGTCAGTACGTACAGCCATTCCTCAACCACTCCAGCTAGTTTCCTAACAGTCACAAACTCTTTGCTCTTGATATATGACCTCCACCGTTTGGACACTGCACCCATGGCGGGAAAATTGGAACGAGGAACTAGAGAGAGGCATTGCTTCGACACATCATCAGGCAGTCCGGGCAGGATCGAACTGTGGTAATCTTCGGCAATTTTAGAAAACAATCTTGCATCACTTTTAGAATCAGCAACTTCAGAAAATAAGATTGAGCCGGTTTTTTGAGATGGGTTTTCTGATTCTTTAATTCTTTTCGCGGAAAATGGGGCCGGCATTCTTCTAAAGTCGCTGATCACAGAAGTTTGTACCACAGTCGTCATTATGAAAATAATCAAATAAATTTTTGGAATAATTTTGGGAAGAGGTTTGATTAAAGAAATTCGTGAAATCCTTCGCCAATGGGGATTCTACAAGACCAAGGCATAAACGATGTCGCAAAGTGGATATCTTGTGCTGCAAAGGCCGACGATTTTCTGTGCTTCATCCAATAAGATTCAAATTCCATACCACTTTCACTAATTCTATTAGAGTTCGGCTTCTTGGCCCAGACCAGGCTGATATTCGATTTCGATTTTCTTGAAGTGCTTTTACCCTCACACATTTCCCAAGTACCTATTATTTTCAGAAATCCATTAAACAAAAGCAATGCGACGAAATAAGAAGAAAACAAATAGCCTATCAAAAAGCAAGAACGCAAAGTAAACATGAACAAAGCAATACCTGACAAGTCCATAAAAATGAGCGTTAACCTCCCGTGACTTCCATCTCTTTGCAGTACAATTGTCTGTAGTAAGTAACAAAAAAAATCAAATATAAAAATTGTTTTGGACTACCGAATTCGTGCAAATAGAAACGGGGATCTACTTGAATACGATCAATAAAATTCATACGTAAAGCGAATTAAATAAATTAAATCACCCAAGTTTGGAAGGAGGTAATAACTTAATGTCAAGTGGTGACTACCTTGATGTTGATGCATAATTAGAAAATAAATAAAAAATGAAAGACGCGCCAATAAAACGAGACAGCATTTTTATACTACGCCTTCAAAGATGCAACCGTTGAACTCACCTACCAACCAAACTACAGCACCACAAGCTACCCACTAACCCCAAGAAACGAGAGATCGCGTTCACACTACGATTTCAAATATTCGACCATCGAGCTCACCTACCCACCCACCAAAATAAAGAACACCTACTACATTATACCCCCCATTTTTGAGCAAATCAGGTAAATTTTGAACAATGAAGAAAAATGTATTAATTAAATGAAAAACGCAATTCCGAGCGGGAAAAGATGCAATATTTAGCCACTGCTACTGCGATAAAACAATTTTAAAAAAATCCAGAAATTAAACCATGGTTACTGGAAGGTAATCATACGTATCAATTAGATCTAACTCAATAAACATTTGCAGCGTACGATTCGAAACTTCACGAAAATTGATTCCCGCAAAAAAATAAAAAAATTTGGGGGAACTCAGAAACTCAGAACAACGTATACGAATTGTTAAACAGATCTAATGCCGCCAAAAGCATAAACAGCAACAGAATCCAGAAATAATAAAAAAAAAAAAATCAAAAATCAGAAAATCGAAGGGGAAAAAATTGTGAAATTAATACCTGCAAAAAATGGATTATCAGGTGCCCAACCTGCAATTGAAACCGCTAGAGATGGGGAATATATATATAAAGGAAGGGAGGGTTTGAAAATTGGATAAGGATTGAGAAAAATCTGCGAAAAAATTGGAATGAGTAAGAAAGAATAACTGAATAAATTGAGAGATGTTTTGGACTGAGTAATGAAATGAATGAATGAATGAATGAATGAATGGGGGGGAATGGATGGGAATGATGTGTGTGTAATGTGTGTGCATATATATATATAATTTTGTATGTATATATCATGAGAATGAGTTGACCGTTGACCAGATTAACTGATTTCAGGACGTTGATTTTAGTTTTTTTTACAGTGAATTTTACATTAGGCAAGTTTGGTAACGATTTTTGATTTTGTTCCCATTATTTTATTATAATAAAATTTATGTTTGTTATTAAATTTTAAAAAATGAAAATTGAAAAAATCAATAGTTTCTATCTCCACCAATCATTATCCGATTTCAGTAAAAAATTGTAATCAATAGTCTCAATAAATATGTAATAGACCAAAATATCCTTATTTATTAATTAATGCAGAAAAATTTTTGGATAGTTAATAAATGTATAATTGAAAAATATGTAATTAATGCAGCATTAGAATTGTAAGGTGACAGATAATATGAAACAAAAAAAATTATTAAAAGAGACAGATAGTTGGAATAGAGGGAGTAATTAATTATTACTTACTTTGCAAATTCTTCTTCTAAAATGTGATTTGATTTTTCATTGCATTTGGATGTAATTTGACTCCCTTTTAATCATAAATCATTTATTTTTTATCTTTAAAGTAAGTAGAACTTACCTTTTTTATGGTTTGAATTTTTTGCACGTAACCCCTTTTCATTTTCAATATAACACATGATCCTCTTGTATTCTAATATAATTGTATAATTCTCTTATTCTTTTAAAGAAATTATCTTTCTAGTGAGTAAGATTATTTTAAAAAATCATCGAACGGAATATCATAAGGGGATCGTATGTATAAAGTTGAAATCAAGAGGAGTTAAGTGATATTTACACTTATTTTAAAGCACCTCCTCAATGTAAAACCACAAGCAGTAAAAAGATAGATTATGTAACTCTACTCATATATTTTACTTTTTGTAAGCAATGTCAATATATCTATACGATGACTTACTTTATAATAAAATAGAAAAAAACATAATTAAACATTCCCCAAAAAACAAAGGTATCCTACTTTTTAGGATAATTATTAATTGAATGAAATTTAAATGAGGTGGTTGGAAGATGTAGATATAGGGGTGTTGATTCGGATAATACCGATCGAAATTTTGTAAAAATTGAAATTTTGGTACTTCGAAAATTTGTATGGTTTATCGAACTGAATTATTTGGTTCCGTACGGTTTTTTACCCAATTAATTCGGATTTTTTGTTCGGTAAAACCAAAAAAATATTTTATATTTTAAAAAATGCAAAAAAAAATATAATATATTAAATTAATTAATTCTTGAATTTGACATTCAAATTTCCATAATCAACCTTAAAAACAAAAAGTGAGATCAATAGAGACTAATTTTTTTAAGTAATAGAAAAAAAAATCTAAAAGTATTTATAATTTGTTATGACGTTAAAAACTTTAAAATAAAGGAAAAATAAATAAAATATTTATTAAATAGTTGGTATTCGGCACGATATGGTATATCATGCATCAATACGTTACACTGAAACTCCAAAAAAAAAATGTTTACTTAATACCGAACTGAATTTTCAGTTCGATATTTAGTACATGCTGAATATTAAGTGTACGATTCAATCGGTTTACCGGGCGATTAACTACCCATGTGTAGATACATCTACCTGCCTACCCTTATTCTCGATAGTAGATGTTTAAATATCTTGTAATAAATATTTCATTGCAAAAAAAAATAATAAATAAAAAATAAAAAATAAAAAATAGAAATAACTTAAAATACGTAAAGATAAAGTGAATATAAGAAATGGTGGTGTATTATAAATTTTAGGAATATTTATGATATTTTATAATTTTTTATAGTGAATTGAGATACTTTGGAGGTGGAAATAAGTGATGCATGTATTTTATTGCATGAATATTAAATTTAATCATATTAAAAGGAATGTATAGTATGGGAGACAAGAAAATCTTCTTTCTCCTAGTTTTGTGTGCCTTAGCGGAAACTTTAAGGCTAAGGAGAATCTTTCTTGATATGCAGTCTGAATTCTTACCATTATATGACTAAAAGTGGATTATCAAGAATATATTTACAAGTGTCCATTTTAGAAGATTACTATTATTTTGATTTTTTGCAGTACATCTAAAAAGATTTTTAAGTAGCCCAACACCCTATTATAGATTTAAAAAATAAATAGTTGATTCTCCTAAGTTGGTGAAATAGAAAATTTGCTATCCTTTGGTCGGGTTTCGATTGATTTAATGTCGTTTACGTGCAGACTAATAGTCGCTGTTATAGATTAAATTGGCTCAGAAGTCAAAACAATAAGACCCTATAAGTAAAACCCAAACTCACTCTCGCGTAATTTACTAAGCCAGCCATTGGCCAATGCAGGGCAATCATAGGTGGCGAATGTGATTAAAGAAAGCAGGAAAGCTTGCAATGTGATATGGATTGGGAAAAAGCCCATGTAACATTTAAAAAGAGGTGATAACAGACACGAGCCCTCCCTATTTGAACCGATCAGCCTGCACAGAGAATACGAGTCCTCCGTTATTTTGTTATTAAGATAATATGGATGTTCATTTGTTTAATTTAATGTATATGTCAAATATAAGCACATACATTAATATATTTATGATATGTAATTCGAGAATTTCGGGTCATCATATGGCTGGAATCCATCGAGGCGGGGTAAATTACAATCCCTATTTAGGACTAATGAAAAATGGCTAATAGTAATGACTAAAAGTTATGCCAATACTATTCCCTATGGACCAATAAGGTACTTTTTGCCAAAGAGGATTATTGCCAATTAACTGTAAATTAGATGTTAAATTGATCAATAACTACAAATTAAATTGACTCAATGGCTCGTTAGGATAGTAAACCTAAACCTGGTGCTTATAAGAAACCAACCATCATTAGGATTAAAATTCTCACCCGATAATTGTCAGTACTCAGTATCTAGAACCTTGCACCAACTTACCACCTGAAAACTAGTTGAGTTATTCCCATAGGGTTTATTTCCCGATTCATGTCTTTATCATAATTGTGCACTCCGATTTTCGAAGTCCACTATTATGATTGGGCAACTAGTTGAGAAAGACTTGTGATAGTTATTTTTCAATCTTTCAAAATTAATTTGTGACCATCTTATTATTATTGTCCACAAAAAGAAATTGGGTGGTTCTTATATTCCATTTTTGTGAAACCTACAACATCCAAAATTGGTCCTAATTTAATAAAATTATTGGAATATTTAAGGGCACAAAACGTAACGTCAACTGTGTGGCTAGCTATTAATCCATCATATACGAACCAATTTTCTCCTTCTACTTGCATGCCTCCAAATTTGATTCCACAAATCAACCCCCACCCAAAAAGAAAAGATTCTCCTACACACATATTACTAATAATAATTATTTAATAAATTATTCTTCTAAATAGTTAAAACAATTAATTTTATTCCACTGGGCTTCCCGAAAAAAAAGAAAATATAATAAGTTAGAGATTGTGAGTTAAAACTTAAAATATTTTAGAAAATATAATGAGCTTAAATAGAAAAAACAGATCTAAGGGTCCTTTTAAAAAAATACTTTAAAACAATTTATTTTAAAAGAAACAAAAACAAAAATTGATTTTGTAAACACCTAAATACAGATTAATTATAAGCAAAAAAAAAAAAACAAAAAAAAACTCAAAATTTTTTCTTAAATTTTTTTGCAAAAACCACCTAAATAGTTACTAATAATTTTCCCGAAATCTAATCAATTTATTATAAAAAGTTAGTTGTAGCTTATTATTTTTACCTTGGTACATTAGAATTGTGATTTCCCTTTCCCTTTTCTTATTTCTTTTCTTTATCTTGATTGGTTGAAACAATTTATAATGGACATTTTCAATTTTATTTATTTGGTTTTTGTCGGTGCGATAATTTTTTAAAACATGCGAACGATGATATGCAACCGCGATCTTATTTTAGTTATACATAAATAAAAGTCAATAATATGTAGCATCATATTATGTACCTATTAATTATTTTCATCTTTTAGAAAATGACTTTTGGAGAAAGAGAAAGACCAATTTAAACCACTAAAAAAACATTAGTTGAGATTATGGGTCAAAAAGTTAAATAAATCGGATAGTAATTGGCATGTTCGATTTAAAAAGAAAATGAGAAAGTAGAAATCGGGATTTAATTTTGGATGGAGATTTTTTTTTTTTTAAATGATTATAAATTATATAGCTTTTTAATCGAACAATAATAATTCAGAAAATAATTAGCAACGAATCAATCCGGACAAATGCAATGAACTTATTAATTTGGAATTTTACTTTAAGTTATTTTATTTAATCCAAATTTACACAAAAAAGAAAAAAAATTAACTATAATCTTATTTAAACGAGTAGGTATGTTTTCAATCATAACTAATAATCCAATATGAAGTGATGTTTTTATCACTGACAATTAAGGTTATAGTAACATTCCTTCAAAGTATAATAACTTGCAAATTCTACAAAAAACGTAAAATATATTATATATAAGAAATGTAAAATAAATTATACATAATTATATGTGACAAACTCAACCAACTATTGTTGGAATAAAAATTTGACTTTTATTAATTGATAATGTTATAAATGGTGATAGTGGGTTAGTCAAATGATTAACATTATGGAATCCATAGTTGAATATATATATATATATATATATATATATATATATATATATAAGCGACATCCAATAAGGGTGGGGATTGGGCTGGACCCCCAACTTTTCTATAGATTAAAAATAAACAAGTACATAAAGAGTTTCAGAGATATGCTACAATCTGAAAAGTAGCTAAAAATATTAACTGCCGAAAAATAAAACGTATTAAAAATAGAATAACACGGGCAAAACAGGCAACTCAAATTAAAGATAAGACATAGAAATGAAAATGATCACATAAAGCCTGGAAAAATCGAGGGAATCCATTCACCTCACCATAATAGTCAAGACCACTTACAATTCCACAAAAGATGGGCGAAACAAATGTAACAACTGCAAAAAATGTGACGTTGTGCAGCAAACAGACAACTTCAAATAAACTGAGAACAAAGTACAATCACTCCATCCATACCTAATATAGAATAAACAAGAGCCAGCCTAATATGAAAAATAAACATAGTTAAAAAAATTCGAAATTGATAGATACTTATACATAAAGGAAGAACATTTTAGGGTAAAATGTTCTTCCTTGTGTAAAAAAAAACATTCACCAAACCACATTTCACTACATCTAGTCATGAAGCATTTATTAGGCTATGCAACATGTTAATAACAAAATATTATCCAATATCTAAGTCAACCTCTATTTAGGGATGTAATGAAGGAACTTGAACTCCTAAACATAGATAATATAAAATAAGTGTGTTGATATTAATAGGGTTTTTCATAGCAACTTCCCCGGTGCTAATTAATTAATTAATTAGTTAGTTAATTAAAGCTTTCAACAATTTTAGGGGCTACCTAATACACATTGGCTTCTGGTGTTCCAAGAAGTCAGTGTCTTTTAACTCTCATTTTGTAGAATTAATTGACTCTGATATATTAGTTTTTTTTTTTTTTTTTTTTAAGAAAAGGTGTAGATTTTATCTTTCAATCTCTATTGTTTTATAAATTTTTTTTAATAATATTATATGTTCAAATATATTTTTATAAATATAAAAATAATACAAATTATGTTTGTTTAATATTTATGAAATTTCTCACTTTCTTTCTTTCTTTCTTTCTTTCTTTCATAACTCAGGCAAACAAGAGCATAAAAGAAACTCACAACTCAAACCTGAAACCCCAAAAACAGGACCGAAACCCGAAAACCCAAAAACCCAGAAATGGAAACCCGAAAACCCGAAGCTACCATTCTATGCTAACAAAACCCTGCCATCACATATTATTCCAGCTTCATCATATAACCTATTCATTACCTATAACGAAAAAAGTACACAACCGAAAAAGAAAGAGAGCAAAAAAAAAAAAAAAAAAAAAAACTATAATGCATATGCAGTCATTTTCATATATTTCATAGAAGTTTTCCGAGAATGGGGTTTTAAAGTACGTAACGGCACCGAATCTCAATACGACAATACTAATTATACCAAAACTAAATTATGCAGCTACAGTCACATAAACCAATATTAATCAAACCCCCCCAAAAGTTCACTAAATCGTATCTTACACCTTTGAAGAAATCGCGAAAAAAGACGATCTATTTTTTGGAGACTTTCTTCTTCGGACCAGAAATAGGAGCAGGTTGTGGCTTGGGATGCTTTTCAGCCTCGCTCGAGTCCAACCAATTGATAGGGTTACGGTTGAAGAACGGCCAATTTGGAATGGTAATAAGAGAAGTTAATACGACCCCAGCTGCATATATAAGCAGCATTGTCTGAAACGACCCCAAAACGTAGCCTGTAATAAACGCGACTACCGCAAAAAAGACCAACATTAGCTGCATCAGATGCTCTGCCAGCTTTTGCCCTTGCCAATCCATCTTCACTGAGAAACGACTTGCTCGTAACCTACCAAAACACAATGTAGGGATAAACAAGAAAGCATATATTAGTATACAATATCACAAGTTGAGAAATAATCGAAACACTTGGTTTGTTTTTTTTTTTCTCAGACGAGTACAAAAATCCCGATTTGCAGTTATCTATATGCAATTGGACGGATCGGATTGGAAATAGCCTTTTTCGGAAAATTTCCGATTTTTTCGGAAGTGATTTATAGGTTCCGGCTCCGATTTGGAATGTAAATATGCGGGTTTTTATTTTTCCGGAAGTTTCGGGTTTTTTTTTATTTTTTTATTTTTTTAATAATACATGAAAAAGAATGCGAGATTCTCCGAATATGAGGGATATTACAAGGATAACAAGAAATCTACTCTAGTCACCAAATAGAAAAACTAACAATTGCTGAAAACTTGAAATCGAGAAATAAAATGCGAGATTGATGAGGGTGGAAAGCACAGACAAGCTTCGGAAGAAAGATTGAGCAGAAAAACAAGGATTTTTTGTCTTAGACAAAACTGTTTGTTCGGAAATTCCGCATATCTAATATACAATTCCGATTTTGATACAAACTTTTTTTTCGAAAAATTCGGAATTTTGGAAATTGGGATACAAAAATTGGTTGCAAAATCGGAAATATTCAGATCAGAGTCGGAAGAAATGGAAATGTTCCGATTTCTACCCCTATTAATAAATGTATAGTCACAAAGAAGTTGACGGGATTTTATTTCTACTAGTCGAGACGGCCTAAATATTAAGAATAAGGTGATGCTAAAAAACAAACAAAAGTTTTCAAAACTTATTAAATATTTTGCGATTCCAATCTTCAAGGCATAGAATCGACCAAAAGACTTTCAACCACAAGTGAATTTGAGTGACGTTTCTCGATTGCTTGATAAAATGTCTAATGCAATAATAATTCCATTTCGATACACAGTCATCCTTGCTGTGAAATCATAATGTAAACAAAAATTCATAAAAACCCCAAATCAATTGATTTTTTTCATCACTTAATTCCGAAAGACTTCGCCGATCAGATACAGCGCGTGAATTATAAAAAAACATACTTTTCGAGAGAAATTTTGCCGAATAAACAGTCAAACATCTACACAGCTTAAAAAAATTAAAATAAAAATAAAATGGAAAATGAAAAAAAAAATTATCAAGTGTCTAAGTACATTAGATCTAGAAATTCTGAATTCAACATTTCCAAACACACCCACACACAAAATCACGAAGATAATCTCAATTAGCCGATTCAATTTCATCAAACACTACATCTCGAACAGCCACGAAATTCAATTATTTATCTACATTCATTTTCAAAAAAGGGGTGATTTATTTTTTAATTTAGAAAAAAATCCAAATCACAAAAACCCCCAAAAGAAACCCTAGAAATGAAATTGAAAGATGCGTATCCAGGAAAAAGGAAATTGAACTCACCGGAGAAGCAACGAACAGCAGAGAAGATCTTGGTCGGAAGAATTTGGGGGGGTTTTTAGGGCGTTCAGATAAATCGGTAACCGTTAATTAATATTTATACTCTTCTAAAATGGGCCAGTTAAATTAACCATTTCGGAAAATGAAAATCAAAACTAATTAATTTATTTTGGGCCTCTATCTATAACATACTAATTAGTATGGATTGACTATTGTATAAGGTGGTGTTTGCAAAAGCTTATTTAAAAGAAATTAGTGATTGTGAGGTAAGTGGGTCTTAAATGCTTATTTGTAAAAGTTGGATGTATTTGTAAGGTGGTGTTTGCAAAAGCTTATTTAAAAGCAGAACTTATGGATTGTGAGTTAAGTTGATTTTTAATGCTTATTTTTAAAAGTTTGGGTGCTTGTAAATTTACTGGAAAATTAACTTCAATAGAAAAAGTAGGGTCCTGGGTGCTTAACAAATTATAGGTTAAAACTGCTTATTTTAGGATAAGCAAAAGTAAATGTTATTTTTGCAAACAGCTAAAAACAGATTATGTGAGAAAAAAATGTTAATTATCTATTCCTAAAAGCTTTTGCAAACACCACCTAAATATGATGGAATATAGAAGCGCTGATCTAAGGGTGCTTTTAAAAACAGCTTATTTTTAGAGAAATAATGAGCTAAAAATAAGCTAAAACAACTTATTTTTCAAAAACAGATTTTGCAAACACCTAAAAAGAGATTATAAGCTAAAACAAATTTAAAATTTGTTTCTAAAAGCTTTTGCAAACAACACCTTAATATCATAAATTATGGAGATAAATCGAATAGTTATTTAGTTTTAACTAATCATAAACACAATTTATATATTACTATTATTTTTGTTGGTGTCGAGAGTTAAGATATATATATATATATATATATATATATATATATATATATATATATATATATATATATATATATATATATATATAATTTTTAAATAGTGATTCATTAAATATTTATATGAATGTTCAAATGAAGAGACACACTATTACATTTAGTGTGTTCGTTAAAAGAGTTTTAAGTGCATTAATTTTTTTTGTAATTTATGACCTTTTAATAGTCTTTTTTATACTATATATAGCGTTACGCACTATGTAATGTGCCTGGACACACCTTTAAATAATAGAAATACATATTTGTTTCTTGTTCACTATCGCTTTGTTGTTTCTTTACTAATTTTCCAGCACGAGTTTGCTCTATATTTTTTTTTCGAGATGATTAAGCCATGAAATTAGTGATGACTCACACTAGAATCTATGTAGTTTATTCTTTTATTTCGAAAATACGGAGATTAGCTTTGACGATGACCCAAAGAGGCAAACATCTCAACCATAGCCGATTCATGAGGTCAAACTTTGCGTTCGATTTCGGACCTTATGAGTTATGATGTCCGAATTTAGGGTGTAAAATACAAACGTTGTAGGACTTTCTGTTGACTGAACGGAACATCTTGAATCATTCAAATGAAAACCAAAAATAAACATGGGAGGTTAGAGGGGGAAAAAATTGAATAACAAAAAAACAACAATAGTAGTGACTTGTTAGCAATAGTTGGGATGAAGCCAAATTTCCGAAACTACAAAATTATCCCGAGGGTTATCAAAATTTTACCAAAATTTGCCTATCTGGTTGCTCCAAGAACTCTTCCTTGAATTTCAGATAATGCAAGTTTAAATATCTTGTAATAAATATTTCATTGCAAAAAAAAATAATAAAAAGAAAAAGAAAAATATAAATAACTTATAAGAAATGAGGATTAAGTGAATATGAGAAAAGGGTGGTGTATTATAAATTTGAGGGGTATTTATGACATTTTATAATCTTTGTTGGTGAATTGAGATCCTTTGAAGGAAAATTGCACCACTGTTTTCTATAAAATATGCTCCAATCCTTAAAACTTCGGTAGTAAAAGTTAAGATCTAATTCGTGCTACAACAGAATAAATAAGAGTATTCAGCATACGTATAAACAAAACAATTTGCAAGACCATATAAATAAACAATTACATTCATTCGAAGAAAATAAGATGTGATTTAATGTTGTCGATAAACTCGAATAATCGAAAGCAATAATGACTTCACATCATAGGTACCAAAATAAAGTCATGCTCATAACATTTGAAAAAATTCAACAATCCAACAAGATACGAAATAAACAAGAAAATTTCTCGAAAAGGAAAACAAGACATAGGTCAAAGTTCATTTTTCTTTCTCAAAACTTGTTGATTCAACTATATAATCTCGAAACACATTACAGGCTAATCATGCCTTCCTTCGTCTTTCGGAATTGTTTGCAGCCAGCTGAGCCTCCGGCTGCAAAAGAAAAAAATAAAATCAATTAATACGAATAATATATCAGAAAACAAACAAAAAAATATAAACAGGTAAATTTCAATTTAACATTACCTCCTTTTTGAAAGATTCTTCCTTTTCAGATAGGATCAACTCAATGTGACACGTGACGACATATAGGCTGCATAAAAAATCCAAATG